GCCGGGAGGAAGAAAAAACCCTAACGAGAGGGGATCATGTGTCCGCGTGGTCACTTGAGCGTCCTGGGAAACCGCTTGGCCCAACAGCTTCAGCGACGACGTTAGAAGCTAGCTGCAGCCTACAGCAGGAAAAACGGGCCGAGCCAAGCCAAGAATGTTGGCCCGTTCCTTTCTCGATCCGGCCTGCGGGCGGCCGGTCCAAAGGCACGGAACGGGTTCAGTCCTCGGGGGAGAAAAATCCCGGAATCGTTCGATTACCGGAAACCAGCCGTAGAATTCGGGGCAGAGGAGGCAGCCTCCCTCATAAAGAAGCCCTGAGCCCCAGCAGACGCCGTCCGTGGAGGAAGCCAATCCATTGTGGAATCTGCGCCAGCCAGGTCTTCTACTCTCTCCCACTTTTGCTTTCGCCTTTTACATTGCAGGGTTTCGACTTTCAGGGCTTGGCATGCAGTGCGACTTAGTATTGAGTTGACTTTCCTGGAGATCGTCTGCGAAACAAATCGGGTTTAATTAGGTTCTTATTGTTCATTAGTTTGATGATGACTTACCTACTGAAGCCGCCGTATATATCAACTGTCTTGTACCTCTGCACTGTGGCAATATGAATAGTGGCACAAAATTTTGTATGCCTTTATTTAGTAACTGTTTGATGAAGCTATGAGGTCGGAGTATCTTCTTCTTTGTGCCCTTACCATGGTGCGACGACCAATTTCACTTGCAGGCCAAGAAGAGGAAGGAGCTATGGGCAACTCCGGCAGCACAGGTACGTTTGCCCGCCCAATTCAACTTCAGACGGTTTATTCTGCTATAAACAAAAAGTCTGACGCGATTCACACCAATCCCTTTTAAGTAGGAGTACATGTCAGGTTAAAAATATGAGACTGTGGCTTTATTTAAACTGAGGAAGCGCTTGCCATCACCATCATGTCGATGAATCGACAAGATGACTGCATACTCGTGTGTTGAATGCAGCACCCTTTTGCAGAAACGCCATCAGTAAATTACAGTGTTGGTCCTAATGCTTGTTGTAGATCACAACCAGCAGTAGAGACTATTTATATACGAGAAAAAGGGGGGCTAAAGGGGGAGGATCCCTTTCCTTAACATTCCGCTGTTAGGTACAAGTGAGATCTCTCCGCGAATAAACTCAGATAGCATCCCAATGGCGACAATTTAAACGGGGGTGGGTGGGTTCAACAACCTTATCACTCTTGCCACTGAACTAGCGCTTAGTTCTCGCTATTTATTTTTATATGTGAGGAAAGTGGCCTCTTCAAAACAAAGAAAATAGAAGAAGAGAAGAGTGCATGTTATGTCGTTTGTACCCCAGATTTGTCACATGATAACTACGATAATATATTAGTGGTCACTTCTCACAAATCACTGTATGCAAGATTTTCAATCATATAACATGAACATAGAGAGCTAGCTATTCTGCACCCTTCAATTTTCCCCATGGTGAATATTGCAACTTGTTTATCTGCTGGAACTGCAACCTGCACATAAATTTGCTCATACCACACTCTTTTTTTCCTCTGTTATATAATGTTGATTTATGCATTGTCAAATTTCAGCTCCCGCACCACTAGGAAAGACCCATGTTCCAGACTTAGAATGGAAGGTTCATGACTTCTCAGCGCTACTTGAGACGAAAGCTACCTCAGTGCTATCTGCTCCTTTTCACTGCTCTGGGTACAATTGGTATGCATCATAACGCGAAAGGAAATTTACAAAATTAATGTATTAGATGTATATAAATACCATCTGGTTTTTTCTAGTGGATATAGTAGCTGTCTGTTAGCTAAGTACATAATAATTTAGGATGTTGATTACTCAGAAATCATGTTTCAGTCAGGTTGAAATATCAACCACAATCTCGCACACCCATGAAAACATCCAGACAATGAAGCTTGATAGGATGCATGAAGTGAAGAAATCAGGCTTGATTTAGTTATGACTTCTAGACTTACTTTGTTTTTCTTCAATTCCCTTCGCAGGTGCCTGCAAGTAACTCCAAAGCACAAACAAGATGCTCAAGTGACTCCAAAGCACAAACAAGATGATAAAGGAAATCCATATGTTGCTCTTTCTCTTATGATGTCCCAGGGATGTTTGGAGCCAGGTCACACGGTGCATGCAGACTTTGAGTTGTCAATATTCAACCATTCAAAAGGAATGTATTATGGATACAAAGGTAGACTCGTGAATGTGTTTTTTCAAGTACATCCATCCTATTTCCCCACACACAAAAAGTAGAGCCATCCTATTAGCTAGGACTCTATATAGTCTTAGTGCATCACAAGTTTGAGCTGTAGATTCCATCATTACAAATCAATACCTATAAATGTTGTAACATGGTCAATTCCTTTTCCCATTAACAAGTCACTTCTTTTTTTTTTCGCTGTGAAGCTTATCCGTTGACTGCAATGTGTGTCACACTTGAGACTCTTCTGATTCAAACACCGTTATAGTCTTCCAGAGTACATAGACATGTTCTTTTTACTTTGATAATCTTTTTTTGGATGTATTTCACTACTTTCATCTCTCCTTAAATGCTTAACAGGGGTGAAAGTTGATTATATGTTTTTTCCTTGCGGGAAAAAGTTGATTATATGTTATTTGGAATATTTTCAAGTTTGTATTTCTCTAGTTTACTAACTTTTAACTAAACACAGCTAGCCACAACTACGCTTTCCAGAATGGCTACTCGAACAAGGAATGCTTGATTTCTCTTCAGGAGCTACTGAAATCATCTGCTTTTCTAGTTGATGATAGTTGTGTCTTTGGTGTGGAGATATTAAAAATTGATGTCTCTTCTCCTGAAAAGAAGGCCGTCGTGGTTCAAAAGAAAGCTACCACAGTTCAGAACCTCTTTATCCAGAAGAAGGGATTCATCAAAGGGACATACACTTGGACCATAAACAATTTCCAAGAATTGGATTCTCAGAACTTTGTCCGTTCTCCTAAATTTGAAGTTGGCGGGCACAAATGGTATTCACCTGTTACCAGTTGCATCATTAATTATATATATACGATGCATGTGTTATCCGATATTATTGCTTATACGTATGCTTTAGCTTACACTTAGTGGCCAGAAGCATTTTTTAGTGCTTTGTGTCAACTCAACAGACATTACCGATGGCCAAGTCTTTGTGCAAGGCAAGGTCTGTTGTCCCTTCAGATATTCCAACAGGACATCTTAGTATGATCTCTAAGCATGGAACCAAAGAACTCTACTTCTAGTATATTTACAATAACATTTTTACTATATTTTACTGTAGTCATGTTTTGCTTAGATTTTTTGTATAATTTTAAGACTCTAATTTTGATGCCGCCAAGTCATGTTCAGAGTTAATGGGTGTAGCTGCCAAGCTCAGACACGACTTTCTGATTTCATAACTAACCACATTCTTCAAATACATTTTCCCGAGTACGCAATTATATTTGAAGTATCACTTCCCATTCTTGCCAACAGGTACATTGGCATGTATCCGCGTGGTGAGAGGCGCAGAACTGATTGCCTCGCCTTGGGATTGTACCGGGAGTCTGCGGATGAGCTGTCCAGGAAGGTGGTTCAAATTACTCTGTCCATCCTGGACCAAAAGAATGGGAAATACCTCACTAGAACTACAAGTTAAGATCTCCCTAGCAAGAGTGAATTGCAAGAAACCACCACATTTGGGGCTTATCTTGCAGAAAACCACCTGGTCGCTAATCATTTGCAAAAATCACCGCACATTCAGTAAACATTTTGCAAAAAACACTGAACAGGTGATTTAGCCCGTTTAACCATTTTTCTGACTAGTGGGGACGGACTATAAGGAGCTGATTTGGCAACAAATTGACATATACCTCCCTGGATCTTATAAAAGAAAAGCAATCAAGCCCCCCCCCCTCCCCGAAGGGCATCTCCTTCCTCTCGCCGGGAAGAAGCAGGACGGCGGTAGCTGGGCGGAGCTGCAGGCGAGGAACGGCAGCGCGGCGGCGGGATCCGGCCAGGAAGGGCCCGCAGGCAACGGATCCGGCGGAACTGGAGGTGGCGCGACGAACTGAGAGGGGGCGACGGCCTCGGCTCCTGCAGCAAAACGACGGCGAGGCGGAGAAGTTAGCAGCGGCGCGACACGAGGATAAGAAAGGGACCAGAGGCGGCGGAAGGAGCTCACCAGTGGGCGGTGAGGACGACGCAGAGGTCCAAGAGCGGGCGAGGCAGGGACGACGCAGTCCTCTGCTCGCTCGACATGAAGCAGCGGCGGCGCGGGACTGCAGGGACGTGGAGTTTGGCGGCGGGGACGACCGGATCGGGGCGCGGGTGCAGGTGACGAAGCTCCAGGCGGAGAAGGGGGCCGGCAGACAGCGAATCCGGCGAACTAGGTGGCGGCGCGACGAACTGAAGGAGGCGGCGGCGCACATCCTCTGTTCAAAAGACAGAGAGCTTCAGAGACGGGGACGAGAGACAGACAGAAAAAGGGGAGACCGTGTGGGGTCTTCACGGAGCAGGAGGCCATGGCGCTCTGCCGGGGACGCATCGGCCTGCTCACCGTCGCCATCGGCCACCGCGACGCGCACGCCGCGCTCGCCGGCTCACTCCTATCCATCTCCTCCTCGCTCCACCTCCTTCCGGCGGCGGGGGCATGGTCCAGAGGGCTGATTGATTTTTTTAAAATCTACTAGGGGTCTGTGTGTGATTATTTTGGGCCCCACCTGTCGGAAACGCCCTCAACCGTGCCAAATTACATGTTCAGTGCAATCTGCAACACTTTTACTGAATACGCGGTGGCTTTTGCAAATGATTAGCAACCAGGTTGTTTTCTGCTAGATAAGCCCCAAATGTGGTGGTTTCTTGCAATTCACTCCCCTAGCAACTATAGTGTGGTCTGTGAAATACTGTTTGTAACCCCCTGATAATAACCGTTGATCTTACTTTTGAGGTGATGGCAGATCTCTTAGTGTGTACACATCCAGAAGGGTGGGGATGGATAGCCTTCTTGCCACTCAAGGAACTCCAGGATAAGTCCAGAGGGTATCTTATAGAATCGAAGTACGTCCTCAAGGCAGATTTCACTATCTTCGGGTCATCGAATGATGGCTAGATCTTTGCCTCGTGGCCTGATGTAGAGTCATCCCACTACTAGTTTATATATATGAGATGGTGTTGCTGATTTGTTTGATGTTCTTATGGTATTAAAGATGAACTAGTTCACAATAAGTTGAGAAAGGATTTCTAGGAATATTGCCTCTAATATATTTCTATTTGCAAGTACTTCAATGTGTGTACTGATGATGTTCCGTCGATCATGTTGTCATGGCCTCAAGCATTTTCAAATGCCAGCCAACAAGAGGTTAAGTGTTATTTGTTTATGGACACGCATAGGGAGGGAATGTTCCACAGGAATCTTCGTCATCGTGTATACATATGTATGCTCGCAAGGGCTCAAAGATGGGTTAGCGCAGCCACGTGACGGCGAGGTTGCGTTAGTGGACTTGCTACAAAAGCATTGATGTTCGTCTTCTATGCAGTGGCGGAGCCAGCGCCCGGCCATCCCGGGCACTTGCCCGGGCTCGCTGGCGACGGGACAGCGTACACACCTGATAAACAATGGGGCAAAATTTGTTATGCATCGTCGTTTGCCCAGACAGAAGTGTACGATAGGTGATAAATAAATGGACTCATTTTTTCCTTTTTGAGCAGAACACAACAATGAGTTCCTATCAAGCGTTGTCATGGGCTAATTAACAAGGCCTATCAAGTGCAGTCGGCGTAATGTTCATCAGTCATGGGCTGCGATTCCCTTCTTCCAAAACGAGCAGTCACAACGACACCACCACTTCGGCTGCTCGTTTCTACCCCTCGAAAAAAAAAGGGAAAAATAGGCTGGACTATGGAGACGAACCGGCGGCGAGCGAATCCGGAGGCTGCCCTAGGCGCACGGCCGGTGGCGGGTGGAGCGGATCCATGTCTAGGAATGGCTTATATCCTCCTCGTCCAGTGCCTTTCTCGTCTTTCTCCTGATTAGGTAAAAAATTTAATTAATTTGAAGATTGATAGATTAGGGCTAAATTTTGAGTTTAGATGGTGCGGCGACTGCCTCGTGATACTGATATATTCAGTACTATGCCCGTCTCTTTTCTTACACAAGCTCTCTATTTTGAATATGTTCACTAATCGCAACTCTTAATTTATGTGCATTAGAAATTCAATTGTTTTTGTTGTATAGTGCCTTCTAGGATGTTTGGATGCTAATTTTGATAGATATATTTTTACAAGTAACATGACAAGTTTAGTTCTATGCATGGCCTTGTTTTATGACTTATGTTGTCACATGGCAATATCTCGAAGCTCCTAGGACAGTTTGGCGAGAACCTTCTCCAGGACACTTGGCAATGGGCGACACATGGTGCGACCTGAGCAGCCCTTTTGCCGTAAGTTGTTTGTCGAGTGTGATTGAGGGGGCACTCAGAAAACCTACGAACGCTTGCTAAAGGCAGCACTCGACAAACATCAAGGACACGTTAACTGCAATGGAACCATCTTCACCTAGTATCATGCTAAAGGCAGCACTCGACAAACCTACGAACGCTTGCTAAAGGCAGCACTCGACAAACCAACGAATGCTTTGCCGAAGACTGCACTTGGCAAACATCAAGGACATGTGTCACCCTTCAGTTGTCCTGTCTTCGGCGAGTAAGGTACGGAAGATAGTCAGCAAACCAACGAACGCTTTGCCGAAGACTGCAATTGGCATGTGTCACCCTTCAATTGTATTGTCTTCGCCGAGTATGGTACGGAAGATACTCGGCAAAGACAACATGCCACGTGGCAAGCGCCATATGTGTCTAACTAGCCGTTAGCCTACTTTATTTTACCGAGTAGCTCATTTTAACCCTCGATAAAGTCTTTGTCAAGTATCCGATGGAAGGAAATCGACGAAGCTCTCTTTGCTGAAAGGGGGTATTTCAAGTAGGGTTTGTCGAGTGTTGCGCTCGGCAAACTAGTTGCTGAGCTGTGATACCGACCTTCGCCGAGTACTTTGGTACTTGACAAAGAACCCGATTCTGGCACTGTATAAAACTGAATATTGATGTATCATATACTAGCTCACATTAAAATTACATTTTGCATGACTGATATGTTCATATTTTCACTTCATTACTATTGGATATTTGTGTTTTCGAAGTTTGGGGCGATTTTATATATTGTTTATCGAAACACTTGATTTTGATTTCCAAATTAGACTCAGGCTCAAGCTTGCCCGGGCTTCAAAAAAGTTCTGGCTCCGCCACTGCTTCTATGTTTTCCTGTCTTTCAGAGCAATCCATTCAAATATGACTAATTTGCTTCCTTTCACTTTTGACCACTGTCATAATTATTTATATATCCATTTAGTATTGATTCCTCTACTTGATTATGTGCATAATTTATCATAATTTGGTGACTGGCAACCTCCTCATGTTCCGCTAGATTCAGTCATGTTGTTCCGTGGTACACCCACCCCCTTGCGATCATTTTTGGTACACAATAACTACATGTCAATTGCATGAGTTCCAAATTTGAGGTCAGTCGATTTTTGGTTGAACGGATAAACAGACGGGTGGGAGAAAGAACCTCGCTGGGCAGGCTACCCCATCAG